TAAAATTCTGTGAACTATAGAGAATGTCTCTTCATTTTAGTTTTAGTTTTTATGTTTAGGCAAAAGAATTTTCATTCTGTCATCCACAATTGCTGGGCCTACCATGACATAAAACATAGGAGTCCAGAAAGAGCCTTGTCAAGAAACTAGTTATTGCTAGGACTTGATTCTAAGCAGTACCAATCAGGAGAACTGTACTTGAGCTTTTAGATATCTGCCTTTTTTAAATCAGTAATATGTCTATCTACAGTTCTTTATAGATTAACTCACTTATATCTTCCAATAAGTAACCAAATCAGAATAAGAGTTTAGGTTAGATAGGTTGGTTTGTTGTCTTTACCAAGCAATTTTCTGTTAAGTTGCATGGTTGCCATATGAGGTGCAGAGACCTGACTTAAATTGCTTAGTGATGATTGTGAGCGCAGAGGGATTTGGAAGATGTGTAGTATGCATAGATTCAAAGATGCATAAAATAGCAATATGAAATAGAAAAAGAAAAAAGCTAAAACTACCAGTTGCACAGTAAAACTGATTTTAAAGTTCAGTTAGTCTGCACTGCATTTTGATGTTTGTTTTTCCTTTTGCAGAAATGCCTTGCCTTGTGGAATACAATGACGGTTTATGGTACAGAGCAAAGCTCCTTGCTGTTAAAGAATTGGACCCTGTTAAGGTCCTGATCCAATTTGTTGACTATGGTAATTTTTCAGTGGTCCCAGCCAGCAGGTAAGTATATGAACTATATAAATACATAAGCTTACATTTATATATTTAAAATATGGATTGCCTAAGCTTTTCTAAATTCTCTCTGTTGCAGTACTTACACTTTGTATAAATACTACTTAATCATAAAAATTTGCTTTAGAGAACACTTAGGTATCTACAAGTCCTTGCTTAATATGAGACAAAGTGGAGATTTGAACCTTGTTTCCCTCCAGGGTTCTAGGGGGAGCCTTTGCTTCGTTCAGGGCTGCACTTCCTGCTCTGCTTCTGCCTCTTCTGGAATGGAGAGTGGAGGATAATATAAAACCAATGTCTATTTTAGATCATTTCAGTAGGAGGCTTTGAGGGATGAACGTTTCTGACTGCAAAGGTGCTTGTTGTTCTCCAGACACAGCAGTTCAGGAGCCTGCTCTGTGTCTCCTGGCTACCTTGTGTCACCTGCCTTTTGCAGTCCTTGCTCAGGCCTGTGCAGGCCCTGGAGTCTCTTCCTCAGGCCCCGCAGTGGGGAGCTGGGTTGTCCAACAGTCTGAGGTTCTTCTGTGATATTTCTCTGTCTCTTCAAGTGTTGCTGGGCTGAATTCTGTGTTATTGGGCTGAATTCCTCCAGAGAGCCTAGGTCAAACTGACTTGTTTGATATGATACCAGCAGGTTTTTGTAGAGCAGTTATTGATTCCAGTTTCTAGACCTTGACTTGACTTGACTGCACTAACCGTGAATCCCTCTGTCCTTTAGCTTGGCACATGGCTCCACGCAAACATTTTCATTTTGTTCCAGATTACGCCAGATACCTCCTCACCTGCTGCACTACCCTGTCCAGGCAGTTCGGGCGCTGCTCGCTGGCCTCAGGCCTCCTGCGGGTGACAAAACTAAGAAAAGGATCCCCTATTGCCCAGAGTGGAGCATGGAAGCACTGTGGGCCATGATGGAATGTGTTGAAGGAAAGCAGCTCTCCGCTTCCATAGTTGTGAGAAACACTTTCTTCTTTTAGTTCTTGCTTGGCCTGAAATTCTTAATAGCAGTCTTAGTACGATCTCTGAGAATTTGTTTTATCGTTAGCCCTGTTAGTTTAAAAAAAAAAAAAAAAAAAAAAGTGAAGGTACCACCAATGAGGAGAGGAAATATCTGTCTTTTCTCTTAATCCCATTGTCAAAAGCTCTCTGAGCAACCCTATTACTTAAAACCAGTTTCCTTTAACTGCAGAGAAGAACATTTTTTTATGTTCACAATTCCATTTGGACTGAGAATATAGCTGGTAGGTGGAATGTTACTACTGGCTGGGTTTTGAAATCTGAACCTGTTCCTGTCATACTGCTTAAAACTGCCAACTACTGTTTTTCCAGGCTGTTTCACCAGAGGTCACCATTTCTTTGTATGAAGATGATCAAAACCTAGTTCATATGAAACTGATAGAAATGGGATTTGCAGATTTGGATGAGTAATGTGTAAGTACAGTGAATAAGAACTACAAAGTAACAGCATTATGAAAGACATTATTTCGTAAGTGTAAAGGAGAGGATTAAATTGTCGCTGTCTGCCACAGCTAGAAGTGTGGGGCAGGTTTCTGTTTTTGTTTAGACTTAAACTAATTTTTAAATCAAAAAACTTAAATGTTGGGGGGAAAAACACAAAAGGATAAATTATAAGAATTGTAAACATTTTTTTAAAACATGATCCTTGTTGTGCCCGCTTCTGCTATTCCAGAGACTCCTATTCTCTGTAGAGATTTTGTTGTTGTTTTTGCTTGGACATTACTGAAACCCACAGTATTAGTTACAAGAATCAATAGGGCCTGCAACAGAGCTACATTGAGGCAGTGTAACAGGAAGAGCTTTTGCTGCTAATCACTGAAGAAGATAAATTGCAGATGGGTGGCAGCATGTGGTAACCACAGTCATGAGGAGCATTTGATTTCCATGGTCTGTGCCAGTGGTTCTCAGATCTGTGATGCCATCATAATTCACTGATACCCATACATCTGGTCAAACATGGAAAACTTCAGTGAAAAGCTTCACAGCATATAGTAGCTGCAAAAAAAAAATACTTAGGGCTCACAACAATGTGATTCTCTTTGTTTGTTTGTGTTCCAGGTGTGTTTGGCGACAGACTTCTCCCATGCTGGCTTCTAATCAGGAATGAAAAGGGGGGCAGGGTTGTTACTTTTTCTTCCTCCTCCCAATGCATTTGTATTGCTGCTGTTTGATGTTTTAAGTAATGTTCAGATTAATGTTTTGTGTGTCCTTGCACTTCCTTCCCATTTCCAGAGATGCAGCATTTGGATGCTGTTAAAATAAACACTTGTTTGAGCATGCATCTGAAAGTTTGGCGTTTTTTAACTGGTTTAGTCATTGGGTTTTCTGTATGTGCCCTTGTTGTACTAGTGTTGCACATCTTTTAACAGTCAACACTCAACTTTTGCAGTTTCCTTGCAGAGAATTTTGTCTAGCAAGGAAAAAAAAACACAGGAATTCAGTGTAATAAAATTTGAGCCTTAACAACCTTCTTAGTAAGGGGAAGGTGACACTCCTTTTAAACAAAACTGGCTCCAGCTTCTTAGTCACTTTCTCAGAGATCTTCTGATCATTGATTTTCCCCTTTCCCAGCTCTTGACAACCTCATGTGTCCACCTGGGCTGGCCAGGCTTGCTCCCCAGCACCGGGACAAGGCCTGAATCCTTCTTACAACAAGCTGGGGTTTGGATATGTCCTTCACACCTACTAGGAAGTCTTCATATTAGGGTATTAGTATAGGGTATTCGTAGTGAGGAGTGTCCTACCTCACTCTTGCCTACTTGATCCTCCCCAGCTGTTAGGCAAACTTGCTGTCCTCTCTGTGTTTTCCCTATTTGAGTGTTTCTAACAGCTACAGTGTGAGCTGCTGATCAGAACAGCAGCAGAAGCTGGAAAGGCTGTACCTTAGTGCCATCCTCTTTGCAGGGGATGCTCTCACTACAGCCACTACTTTTTGTGTTCAGTAGTAGCTGCTGTTCATCCTCTCCTTGATTATTAATATATGCTATTATTTTAAGCCTTCATCTATAGTGTTTCTTGAGGTACTTCTACACAGAAACATTTTCATCCATGTAAATCTTAGTTCTAACAAATACTGTCTTCAAAATAACAGCTCCCTTTCTTACAGGAGGAGGGGTGGGGAAAACCCCTTTAGCAGCCTTTTTACCCCTAGAACCTATTCACTGCAGTCAGAGGAGCTGTGGTGGAACTAACACAAAGGATAAAGTGGCCTCAGTTTTCTACCCTTGATCCTTTGCCCAG